TCTCTCTCTCTCTCTCTCTCTCTCTCTCTCTCTCTCTCTTTTACTTATATAAGTACATTGTAGCTGTCTTTAGACACATCAGAAGAGGGCATCAGATCCCATTACAGATGGTTGTGAGCCACCATGTGGTTGCTGGAAATTGAACCCAGGACCTCTGGAAGAGTATTTAGTATGCTTAACCACTGAGCCATCTCTCTAGCCCCGGGACAAGCACCTTACACACAGTAAGTAGGAAGACAAAGCAGAAGACAGCCTTTGTGTATCACACAGAGTCTATGGAATGTCATGAGCACATTTGTGTTTCTGGCAATACCTGCAATGCATGTGCCAATCACGGGCTTCTCTTAAGCAAGACACAGAAGCCAGAGCAGATCCAGGGCTGCCACCACACCAAGGACCTACTCTGAGATGGTCAGCCCATGGTGGTGGCTCTAAGGTACCCAAAGCCTAGAAGCTGATGGGCTCTTTATCCCCTGACCTGTGGCACAGGGACACCACATCCCAGACATAACCATGTCAGAACACATGCGCGTGTTACCTCTGGGCCTATACAACCAGAGTGCACATCACCTCCAAACTCACTCTGAGTGAACACTGTCACAGCCAAGACCCAAGACCTGTACTAGAACTGTCATCCCCCTGCTCCCTCTACCTCCCTCTCCCACTCAGGCACACACATTTTCTTGCATAGCTCATGGCATTTTCCTTATACTTCCTGGACAGTCTCTCCTTCCACCATAAGCCAGAAGTTTTGAAACTGTGTAAGATAACAAAGACATCAGTTGCTTTCAAACCCTCAGGGAACCGACTATTCCTTCTAGGGTCAAGTCTAATTCCTGACATTAGCCACTGGGCCCTGACTGACCTGACTCCTGTCCACCACTTCAAGCCACCTCATCCTACTGTGCTCTTGCTAGGCCAAAAGGATTCCAAACAAATCCTACTTTCACAAGGTACTTCTAACCCCTAGAACAGGTCCTTTCTAGCAGATGGCCCTGCAGTGCCATGCAAAAGTACCACCTCCTGCAGGAAGGCCTCCGTGATGTCAGTTTCACAGAATCTAGAATGACCTGGGAGATGGATTTTTTTTTTCCTCTTGCCTGTTAGCTCGTTTCCCATGACATAGCACAATGGTAGGTATTCACTAAACCATCTAATGAAGGGGCCACAGAAACCCCAGCCCACTAGGCTGCCCCTCGTTCTTCTCTAAGGCTCAAACGGACGGACTTACCAACACAATCGCAGGTGGGGAACTCAGCCTGGGCCTTCTTGGAAGGTGTGTCCAGCAGACTCTTAGTAGGTGTGTCTAGGTACTTAAGAGGTGACTCCAAGAAGCCACTGAGGGTGGGTGTGAGTGGATTCTCAGCCTTGGTGGGTGTGGCTTCCTGTCCTCCCTCTTCTGAATGGAAGCAGGTGGTTGAGAGCACAGTCACAGCCCCTGAAGACTCGATCTTGATCTTCTTGGGGGAGCGGGTAGCAAAAGGGCTCTCCGGAGCTGGGAGACATGTTGACTGGCTTTCAGGGTCTTGAGTGGGCACCGAAGGAGGGCCGGGAAGCCCAAAGCTATCCCCAAATTCAGCCTCAAATTGCCGGATGAGTTCTTCCAGCTTGTCATCGGCAGGGGGCAGGGGGCCACCAGTGGAGCCTGACTGCAGGGCTACCATGGGGCTGGGGGATCTCATTTCCTGAGTAGGGGGCAGCAGGCTGTCCCCGGAGGGACTAGGTGCAAATAGCGCAAGAGAAGGTTCTGGGGGTAGAGGGGTGGCACAGCTCTGGGAGGCAGGAGGTGGGACGGGGAGCTGGGCAGGCGGAGGCGTTTGTCCTTCTGAGGCTTGGGGTTTGAGCTCTTCCAGAATAATCTGCCTGAGAGGCAGGAAGAGGGGCTGCATGTCTCTGGACCTGGACTTCTTGATCTGAATGGGCTTTCGGACACTAGTCTTGATCCCAGGGGTGGTTTTCTCTGCTCCCACAGGACCTCCAGCTGGGGTAGGGGGCTTCTTTTTCTTTTCCTTGGGTGGTTTGTCAGGAGGCCGTGGGGCGGGTGAGCCTGGTGGGGCCCACCAACCAGGAGCCTGAGGCTCTGTGGATATAGGGAAGGAGGCATCATGGGCCTGTTCCAAGAATAGGTTGCGCTTATGATGAAGGTGTTGCTGAAGCGCTGTCTGGGCCTTCTGGTGGGTGTCAGGCTCTGAAGAGGGCAGGGGAGCCTCCCTCTGGGAAATAGGAAGTGGTGCTGGAGCAGGGGAGGGAGGGGGGACCTCAGCCTTGACCTTGGGCTTGGTGGGCAGGGCCTCAGGTCGCTTGAATACTGACTGGATGTAATCACTGGCGCTGCCCAACAGCTGTTCCAGTTCAGCCATAGGGTCAGGGCTTGGGCGAGGTACAGGCCAGGAGTTCCGGGGTGTCGCTGGAGGGGTGTCAGTGCCCCATGCTTCAGAAAACTCAGTTCTTGGAGTCGCTGGAGGGAAGGCTGGGCTGTCAGGAGCAAAGGATGGATGTTCCTCTGGGGGAACCACAGGCCATGAGGGGGCCCGGAGGTAGGACTGGGGAGATCTGAAAGGGGCAGAAGGGGACAAGGCCTCAGGGAGTGGACAAGAGGCCTGGGAGGTGGAATGAGAAGGCTGAGGGAGGGCCGAGGAGAGCTGTGTGAGGGCCTCGATGGCGATGGCTGTCTGCAGGCTGATGTTTTTTTCCTTGGCAATGCTCAGGGCGCTCTGGGACAGAGGCAGGCCCTCCAGGGGAGGTACCTGGGGGACCTCAGAGCTAAGGAGTGGTCTGGTGCTTGGGGCTGGGAGGCCAGCCTCACTAGGAGGCAGAGTGCCTGGGAGCCTGGGCCGCCCCTGCGCTCCCTCCATGGCCACAGACTTGATCTTCCCCTCCAGCCACTCGAGGTAGTCGGGGCACTCTGGGCCATCGCAATTGCAGTTGGGTGGTTTCATGCCATGCCTTGCAAGGGCCAGGGCTGTCTGTAACGTGTCCAGGTCTTCACTGCCCTCAGAGCAGCTCTCAGGCCGGGTGCCCCTGCCGTTGCTCCCAGCCTCACGACTCATCTCACGGTTGAAGGTTTCGTAGAGCCGGGTGCTAAGGGCCCCATAAGAGGACACAGCTTCGGCCACGGCCGAAAAGGCCACCAGATCGTGGGCATCTTCCAGGCGAGCAGTGTGAGTAGGGCCTGAGGCAGCGTCCCAGTCGGGCTTCTGGTCTACCCGCCAAGGACCCGAAGCTCCCAGAAGACTGGGTCCGGCAGGCTCTCTAGCACCATTGACCGGTGCCCCTGAGGTGCTTAGCTGCCTTGAATCTCCATGGTACACTGGCCCTGAGTCCATCTGACCTGGAACAGGTCCATCAACTGGGCTGAGCTCTGAGCCTGTCTGGAGAGAGAACAGAGAGGGGGGAAAGGAAAAACATAAACCATACTATTAGCAAAGTATCTCCCTGCTTCACATTACCCAGCTATACTTCCAAACCCCTCTTTCCTTGCAGATTCTCCCCTGGGACTTGTAGGAGACTCAGTCTATACCTTCAAGTACCTCTACCCTTTAGCTGGCTTTACCAACTTATAATCTCAGAGCTAGGGAAGGGTAGACCAATCTCCTGGGGTTGGCTGACTATCCAGCTTGGCCTACCTAGCAAGCTCTAGGCATGTGTGGTAGAAAGGCTGTCCTCGGACCTCCATACATACATACACACACACACACACACACATATACACAAGCACACAAAGAGGTTTTATGTGGAGTTCTCAGTACCTCCTGGCCTTGTGAGAGCTCAGATCAAACCTAAAAGGGTCTTTAAGCATCCAATAACTGATGACTGATTCTACTGAGCCCCAAATTGAGATTAGCCCTGCCTCATGCTGATATGAACCCCGCTCTGTGTAGAGCTAGTTGGGCTCTTGGTGTTTAAGTTCCTGTTTGAAAAGATTCAGGCCTCTCACCCAGGAACAACCATTAAACATATACTTGATGCTAGAAAGTGGTTGAAGTGGGCCTAAAGGACATGGTCCAGAAAGGAAGAGGTGAACACAAGGACAAGACACTACATTTGCAAGACTCATCCCTTGGAAAGAAAAGTCCTTCCTCTCCACCAATGGCCAGGAAAACCCTAGAAGGAAGGACAATTTCCGAGGCACAGGCAGTAGTTAGGAGCCTGGTGTAATGCAGGATTGACAGCTACTGAAAACCTCAAAGGTCACGGCAGCTGCTGCACAGGCCAATGATCAATCTAGCTCTGCAGCACCCAGAGACACAGGTCTTAAAAGCTCTTTCTGCAGTAGTTAGCACTGCTGGGAAGCCATGGAACTTGGGAAGCTAGGGCTTAACCAGGAGCAGGTCAAAGGGGACCCAGCTCCTTTCTTTGCTTCCCGGCTCCCTGAGGTGAGTCAGTCCCCTTTGCTTTGCCACTGTTCCTCTCACCACGATGTCCTGCCTCGGACACCAACGAAGCCAAGTGGCTATTGTCTGAATCCTCTGAAACTGTTAAACAACTTTCAAGATATTTCTTTCTATTTCTGTTGCTTTTTCACGACAATAGAAAGCTGCCAGATACAAGGGGGAATTTTAGTAACACCTTAACCAACTTATTATTAACAAATTAACCAATGTTATAAGTCAACATTAATTATAACATTTTTCATCATTGTGACCAAATAACTGACAAGAAACAACGTAAGGGAGGGGGACTGCTTTTGCCTCACAGTCTGTGGGAACAATCCACCACAGGTACAACCGGTTTGATGGCAGGAACTCACACAGCTGTGGTACTAAGGGTGCAGTGTCTTCGCTGGCTCACGTCTCAGCAGACCAGACACACACAGAGGGAAATGCTGACCCTTAGCTGGCTCTTCCTTTTTTTTTTTTTTTTTCCAGTATAGACTCTCAGTCCAAGGAACAGTGCCCACATATCCTCTTTATAAAAGTCCTCAAAGACATAAGGTGTGCCTTAATGTCCAAAGTATTTCTTCATCCAATCAAACTACCCATTACAGTGATCATTACAATATGGCAACACTAATAACACGGCCTGGATAGGACACAGGACTCACAACTCAGACAAAGCCTACCAAAATGTAGAAGCTGAGTCTATTCATGGGGAAATTATCAGGTAAACAAAACTTCAGTGTTCTACATAATACCTGAAGTGTTCTCTCAAAGCCTATAATCAAGAAAGAAACCTCTTCCAGTTTATATAAACAAAATACATGTTTATAGGTTAGATCTCAAACTAGGGGAAAGTACCAGCTGCCCTACTGATGCAATCTGAATACCAATAGGGACAGAATAAGGCTTTGTCCATCCTAATCTTGACCTGGATCATTGTAATTAGATAAGAAAATGTTTCTGGGGATGTAGCACAGTGGAAATCACATGACTAGCATGTGTGAGGCCCTAGGTCCAATCCTCTGTATCACCTCTCCAAATGGTAATGATTAGAACTACAGAATCCAACCAATTTGGGGGCTGAAGAAATAGTTCAGCAGTTAAGAGCACTTGCTGCTTAAGACCAGAGTTCAAATCCCAGCACCCACACCAGGTGGCTCATAAAATGCCTGTCCAGCTTGAAGGGATCTGACATGTCTTTTAGCCTCCATGGGCACACTTATGCTTACACACACAAAATCTTTAATTGGTTATTTTAGTTTTTCAAGGCTGGGTTTCTCTATGTAACCCTGGCTGTCCTAGACTCTGTAGACCAGGCTGGCTTCAAACTCAAGAGATTGCCTGCTTCTGCCTCCTGAGTGCTGGGATTAAAGGCGTGCGCCACCATTACCCACCTATACTAAATCATTAAAACAAACAAACAAACAATTAAAAAACAATAAATGCCCTTGTTATTAGGACAAACACATCCATATATATGGCAGTAAAGGGACGCTAACTTAATCTCAGGTAGTCATAAAATGTTTATATGCATATATAAGAATATATAGAAAGAGAAAATGATGAAGTAACTGAGAATGTAAATATTCTGGGTACATGGGAGTTCCAGGCATGATTCTTACAACTCTGTATACATCTTAAGATTCTGTCAAAGTAGAAAGCTAAAAAATAAATTAGTTCCTTGGGTAGCACACAAAATGCTTTAAGAAGATGGCTATGATAACACCAACCCTATGACTGTCGGGCACAGCCATCACAGGCTCCAGGGTCCCCATGATTGTCAGGCACAGCCATCACAGGCTCCAGAATGGTGGCAGGCACTGGAAAATAGGGCCTGTTACAAAGAAACCTCAGCCTGTAGATCCTGCCTCCTCCTTACTGGTTCCTGTTCTGGCCACAAAGGACCCCCATGCTTTTCTAATGTCTTAGAACCTTGAGCGTGTGGTTGTCAGGGTTTCTGGCCTCTCCACTGGTCACTGCGGTTTACTCTTAAAGCACCACTTCTACTGCTACCCGAGTTAGCGGTACCTCTCTCTCCAGGACTCTTCCAGGTACCCTGCATACTGTGGCTTCTTCCCCACTTTTCACTTACTACGTATCTAAGCAGCTGCCTCCCACAACGGGTAGTAGGTAATGAAAGACAATGTCTACATCCTAAGGGTTCCTATGCCTTCCCTAGCCAGAGCTGGTACAGCAAAACTCTCCCAGCTCAAGGAAACTCTCCTATCTCCAACCTTCTGGAAAAACAACTTTTAGACACCTAAGGAGTGTATCTCACTGCTCACTTTAGAAACTTACACAAGCACGGCTTACAGACATGAGGCACTCCAACTTTATATGCTCATGTGTAAAGGGACAGAAAAAGGAGCGTGCATAACCAAGAAAAAACATCAGAGAGTTATCAAGAGTCCCAAAAACAATGTCAGGAAGACTAATGCTACATGAGCTGAGGCTTCCCCAAAATGGTCAAGACAACGAAAAGGGATTTTGAAAGTTATTTTTGGTGTGTGAATAAGAAGAAAGCACTAAGGCTGGCTCTGTGCCACTCAGTTCCCAGAGAAGGAAAAATACTTTTCAGACCAAAAAGAGAATAAGGGGGAAAGTAGACAGGCACAGAGGAGAAGGCAAGAAAGTCAGCATGCGTGAGAGAGATAAGAAAACTCAAATTCCAGTTTCCTGGTTCAGAAACCCCACTGATAGATTTCTCAACACCTGCCAGAGAGCCTGGATCAAACCTGCCAGAAGATGTCAATGAGCACCGAAGGCATGCGTGTGCCTCAACTTTCAGTCCTGCGTTTGAAAGCTGATTCAAAGTATTTAAAATGTATTCTTGAATGGTCAGACCAGCTATAAGGAACCAGGTTCAACAGGAGACCATCGTCTTACCATTTGTGTGACATGGCTGATGAAACAGGAAATAGTTAAGATACCATGATGCATGGGTCAGAGTCAGAACTGCCGCAAATCCAGCTTAGCTGGCCTGTCCAGAGTTGGTGGGTTTGTGATTTTGCTTTGTTTTTTTTTTTTTTTTTTTTTTGTTTTTTGTTTTTTTTTTTTGTTTTTTTTTTTTTTTGTTTTTCGAGGCAGGGTTTCTCTGTGTAGCCCTGGCTGTCCTGGAACTCACTCGGTAGACCAGGCTGGCCTTGAACTCAGAAATCCACCTGCCTCTGCCTCCCAAGTGCTGGGATTAAAGGCGTGCGCCACCACCGCCCGGCTTTGCTTTGTTTTTGAGGGTTTTATTTTTTGTTTTTTGTTTTGTGTGTGTGTGTGTGGGGGGGTGGGAATGACAATTTAAAAGATGAAATTGTACATGAAGCCTTGGTTTTCTTGAAGTTCTACATTTCTACCTGGCAAATTTGTCTCTAGCAGAAAGGAGCTATTGCTTACACAGGACATGACTGTCTCAGTGCACAGCACCTCACCCCATCTCGGCACCAGCACAGCCTTTTGAAACCAAGGCCAGTGGTCAGGGATTATTTCCTGAATAATCAGAAAATCTGAAATCAATCACCACTTCATTTACCTGTGCTACCTACAAAGCCCCAGTAAGCTTTTAAGTTACAACTCCATCTGAAGATGTTCAAGTTTCACAATGTCTGCCACAACTCTGCTGAGGACAGCTGTGGAGAGTACCCTCTTGTAAATTCCTGTCACTACAGCCCAGTCATATTCAGAGTACAAGCTGGTAAGTCAACTGACTGGGGTGGGTCTTGAGGTCCGCCACAGTGAGATATGAGCTCCACTTGGTTTGGACTATACACACCCCCCTCTAATAATTCACTTGACAGCCTGATACCCACTCTTACCTACATGTACCATGTATACACACCCCCCCCTCTCTAAACCTAGGAATGCATAATCAACAAAAGACCCCTGTGCACACAGACCCCTTTCTGAATAGACTAAGTTTCTCCTTGTCTCAATGGCCATCAATCTTAGATCCTATTCAGACATACTTGGGTTGGGTCTGGGTACAGAAGATAGGCCATTCT